TTTGCAGATTTATTAAAAAAGAAAAACTGAAATATCACATGGTCCTAAGTATTCAGACCCTTTGCTGTGACACTCATATATTTAACTCAGGTGCTGTCCATTTCTTCTGATCATCCTTGAGATGGTTCTACACCTTCATTTGAGTCCAGCTGTGTTTGATTATACTGATTGGACTTGATTAGGAAAGCCACACACCTGTCTATATAAGACCTTACAGCTCACAGTGCATGTCAGGGCAAATGAGAATCATGAGGTCAAAGGAACCCCAACTTTCACTTTGCCTCAATATTATATCATTGTTCCATCCAAGTCATTTCTTACTGCTCAGCAGAAGGTGGAAGGAAACAAATAGCCTTGCAAATGTCACACTCTGTTCACAGGGATCACTGACTAACAGTGCATGCTGGGGAGGAAAGCTCACCATTGTTTTGCCGCATTGAAAGGTGATGCTGCTCTGAATGTTGCTGCTCTTGTCGTCGCATTTCCTCGAGCTGTTGAAATCAAGCACAGCAGGCGAGACCTTCCGCAAGGAGAGCTCACCTATGGGGAAAAAAAGACCTGGTTTGAACACAGCAGTGTGTCTGACACTGAGAGCAATAACACACAAGCTTTTCTTTTCAGCAAGCTGGTAACACAACAAATGCTGAATGTTACTGCAATAAACTAACACACTCTATATGCAGCTGGACTTTAGTAATAGAAATAAAGTCAAATGTCATTTGTCAATGCACAGCTATGTCGAGCACAACAACAACAGCCATAATACGTTTGCTTGCCTGTATTCAAACCAAAGTCAACTAAAGTTTACCAGCACATACAAATCAGTAAATGTCTCTGTGCCGACCCAACAAAGCAAAAATATTACAGCATGTGATCTGGAGAGGTTAGAAATTCATAGGCCAAATGTCTAGCAGTGCACAACCCATGGGAACAAATAGCATGAGAAGATGACCTAATAAAAATGCACCAATGTGAAAAAAGGTCCTAAAAACATGCCAACTGGAGCCAGAGAAACTACAGCTGGCATTTTAGGCCGCTGGAAAACATTTAACATGCCATGTGTGGAGAAAAAGAATACTAGTGTACTGCACAATATTATACTGCATACTATATATATATTTTTTAAACGGCTTAAAAAAAACGTAGTGCACTACATTGTCATGACTTGACCTCAATTTGTTGTTTTATATTAATTTAGTGTGTGCCACTCAAATACTTTAGTAAAATATTAATAAAGAAAATATTCTCACATATTTGTGCACGTATGACTGTAAAATGATCTTATTGCAGTCATCAAATAATGAATCAAGAAAAACCAAATTTGCAGGTGACATTATTTCTGGTTCATTCATGATACTCGATATGGAAGGTCATGTCAAGCTCATTGCATTGTGGGATACATCTGCTTTTACACAACAAATTTTGGCAATTGTTTTCCGAGCATTTAAAAAAAATGCATATTGCACACAGTGTGCACACTGACTGCATACTGAAAACATAACTAAAAAGTAGTCTAGTAAAACGCTATTCTGTTTTTCATTCAACTGCTCTGTTCAGGATGTGTTAAATGTTTCGAGAATGCTTTTACCTTTTATTAAGACGGCAAATATAGTTGATGTGATATGGCATTTATGATTTATGCACATGGTGGAGCCTGAAAATTTTAATCACTGCCATTTTAAATACTGTCACTTTGTACTACTGCACCTGCTGCTAGATAACTTTGACCTACTTACTGTGAAATACAAAGATCGGACTGCAGGAACACAAGATAAAGAATACCAGGATATGTGAGCGAGTGTATACACACTAAAATGAATGCAAACACTTTCAGATGCATCAACACTATTGTGTGTGAAGCACACATTACTGGCCCGGAAAGCCCCATAACGGATACACACGAACCACCAAAGTGTGTGACACTGAGAACCAGTATGACTATAATCACCACAATCAACACAGCATGAAACACTACATAAATAGACATTACACAATGGTGTTTGGATGTTTTTCTTACTATGGTACAAAATAACTTCTGTACTCTATGTAACAGTGCTGAAAGCCACTCATTATGAATATAAGCACACAGATCCTATCAGCATGATCAACATTTGCAAGTTGCCTTATTTTGTCATATGATCAAATGTTTGTGATGCAATACCTCCAGTGTTTGTTCTGACAACAAGTGAAATGGATCCCTTTATTTAAATCTAGGTCTAACAGTTACCTCAGAGCCACTATTGGTCAGAGTGTTCAGTTGATAGGTTTGTGTCATATGGAGGTCAGCTGACTAGTTGGATAAGACCAAATAAACAAGCACTCTGTCTGTGCTCTGTCATGCAGCTCTCGCTTATGAGAGCAATGACCATATAACAGCCCTGAGTTGCAGGGTTGTTATCTACTGCGAAGACAAAACATGAAGTATTTAGCATACTTACTTCCTATAAAAAGTTTTAATGTTTAACCTGAATATCCAGACTAAGCAAAAAAAAACAAACAATCATTTCTTTCTTTGACCAACCGAGCGTTTGGGGTGACTTGAATCAATAGGAAATGGTATCAATCACATGACCTAAACAATTAAAGAGTGAATCTTGCATGAAAGCATGTTAATGTCACATTTCACCCTAAACTTTTAAGAAAAACAGAAAGTTCATATATTGTTATACAATATATTCAAATATATACACTAACACTATCAATCAAAAATTCTCATTCAGTATTTTTTAAGGATTTAATACCTTTATTCAGCAAGCATTAAATGGATCACAAGTGTCAGTAAAGACATTTATTATTTTATCATTTATAAAGATTTCGATTTCAAATAAAGGCTGTTCTTTTGAACTTTCTATTCATCAAAGAACCCTAAAAAAATGTATCATGGTTTCCATAAAACTATTAAGCAGAACAAATGTTTTCAACATTCATAATATCAGCATATTAGAATGATTTCTGAAGGATCATGTGACACTGAAGACTGGCATCACAGGAATACATTTTATTTAAAGTTATTTAATTTAACATTATGACTGTTTTTAAGAAATCATACATATTGCATAAAATAAAATCTACTTTAGGACCATTAAGACGGCATTGTCTCATTATTTAATAATGCAATGTAAATTGGCAAACATACACCATAATAACCAACAAATCACTGAGAATTTAGAGAATCTGAGAATTGTTTTCTTATACAGCGTTGGTGATGGTGAAACCAGTGCTACTCTCACAGTTAGTGTCATTATCTATCCTAATTAATAAAATAATCAAACAAACAATCAATTTTCTAATCAACATACAGTATAACTGGTAATCATTATCCCGTGACAGAAAGCTGAATATTTAGAAAAAACATTGACAAAATGAATATTATTAAATATAAAATCAAATGTATGCTATATTAGAAAAAAAGGAGTAACGTACAGGTTTTTATGATTTAGTTTTATGAACATTGCTGTTGCAGTGTGGGTGTACATCATGCAACATTGGCACATCGATGCATTGCTCTTACCCACTGACTGGAACTGGTCACTCTTCAGCTTGTGGGCACAGACCGCGCTTCCTTTTCCACATTCTGTTTCCGGAGAAGAATCACAGAGCTTCAAAGTGTATGTCACATTGCTGTCTTGGTCAATTGCCTCCCATTTATAACTTCACACATACAAAAAGAGAGACACAATTTCAGCTGATAATATCCATTCGCAAAACCAGCTCAGTGCCTAAATGAATGCATTTCTTTGTCCCAGGTGAGACAAAATATCTGTTATGGTTTTATTAGGTCCAGGTACATAATGCATCCAGGCTAAAGGGCCACAACTACCATTCAAATATATAAAGCAGACCAGATCATATTTAAACACATACAATTCTTTCTAAACCACTGTTTGTATGTTATCCATAAGGGTTTGCCAGCAATGATTAGCATTATGTTTGATTATTTATTTAAGATCTCACCTGCACAGATCCTTGTACCATGGGCTGTCATCCGACCCCACTGCTGATGATACACACTGAAGCAGTATGAAAGTTAACAAACCAGTAGCAGCGATTCCGCAAACCCGCGCAGGACCCATATTTTAGACTAGGAAATAAATGAGTGCGCACAGTCCGACATGATACAGCAGTCCTTTCTGATTACCGATCATTACCCGTGTAGCAGGAACCACTCAGTCACATGACGCATGACATGTGGTACACGTCACGTGGTGCTCTCCGCTCGAATAAGTAGAATGGCGTCAACACGGAAAGGACTGTCCTAAATAGGCGTGGCTTCGCTTTTTTTTCTTTTCTTTTTACTGTCGTCAAAGTCCCTTTCAAGGAAAGCCTGACTCTGTTCACTCGGCGGCCATATTTGCAACGCATCCGGGCAGCTCAAACAAGCTGAACGGGGGAATCCTGAAATCTCAAAAACTGCTCTATGAACTCAAAATTAAATTACATATTTCAAATCAGCAACATAATCTGAAATGAACTACCCCATGAATGTTGTTTCTTATGCTCAAATAGCGTTAAAAAGCTTTTTTTTTCAGGACCATTATCGAAAAATAAACCCCTGACCACGATCATCACATACTCAGACTGTCGTATTTTTGTGATAATGCTACCTACCGAATAAATAAATATAGTTTTGAGTTGATAAAAATGTTTTTATCTTACTCTTAAAGTATCTTAAAGATCACGTGAAGAAACAAATATCTATTGCACTGTAGAAAACGTTGAATATCTAATATAATAATTATTATTAATCTTCAATAAAAATGTTGTTTACTGTGTTTAATTATCTAATCTATAACGACAATTTAACATCTTCTTAATTTAACACCAAGTGTATGATAGCTCTTTTTAACTTTTGTTAATTTGTACCATGGGAAATTTAGACAAATTTATTTCTCTCAATGTGACGATTTATCAATCAGAATCAAATATTCTAGATAATTGTTTTAATTTAATTTATTTATATATTTATTAAGTATCTCAGCTCTCCTCTCGCGGATGACTAGGATGGACCAATCACAGGGGTTTGTAATGCCTGAGGCAACTATCTTTAAAACGTATAAATTACGTTTATATAAATGTCTCTCTTCAATACGACAAACATCCAGAGACGTCTTACAGCTACAAGGTCTGACAAGTTTGTAATTTTTTTTTTTTTGAAGACTGGTTTTGTAATACTGTAATAGCTATAATGGTGTGTAATAACCATGTAATTACAGTCAGGATGGCCGAGCGGTCTAAGGCGCTGCGTTCAGGTCGCAGTCTCCCCTGGAGGCGTGGGTTCGAATCCCACTTCTGACAATAACCTTTTTTCCACAGCTCCTTCACAACATCTGAAGATTATCTTTTTATTGTGTGTTCCAATAGAACTAGAAAGAACATTTTCACTCACAAAAAACAACACTGGGTTAAACATCACAATCAAACAGAGGTCAAATGTCAATCCTTTTAATTACTAAATAAAGTTTTGCTGTTCAGAACTTAAAGCCATCATAGCCAACACAGCCATCAATAAACCGACTGTATATTTCATCAGTCACATGTCCATTTATAGATAAATAAGACCTGCCAAAAAGCTGGAAATCCAGTCTTTAGTTCTAAAACTAGATTTTTTCATCAAAAATAATATGACAGAGTTTCATGGTTAAAATCTTACGATTTTAAGATCTTACTGTGACTATAATGTTTGAACAATACAAATTGTACTCCATTTCTACAAAACACACGTATAGAACATCACTACTGAATCAAAAAAATGAAAATAAACAATTAATTCAAGCCATTCCAAAGCTGGACTGTTCTTTAAGTGCAATATTGAGTGTAACTCGCCAGCTTCTCTGTTCTGAAATAAACCAATTGGAAAATTAGGTTTATCTATACTCAATATTACAAAAAAAAAAGAATCTAAATTGTAATACTTACGAAGCATAGGCCGTCTCACATCAGCTCACCTAAGAAATAAAAATTAAAAAACTTAAGCCACAAGTTATTTTCTTGAATTAAAAAAAAAAGTAGTTGCATATAACATTAACAGGTAAAGCTTTAAAACCCCTTAACTGTCACCTCCCATTTTTTTAAATAGGCATGCAGGTGCACTATCCAAACTTAAATTGTTGTAATTTATGAACACTTTGGAATACAGACATAAGGTTGGTCTCTTTTTAAAGAAGAAAATCAGCAAATTATCGCAAAAGTGGAATAAAATTTTTTTTTTTAAGTATCAATAAGTTATAGTAGTTTAAATTTACTGTAAAGAAAATGCACTATATGCATGAATCTTGGGCTTCTAAGCTTTCAAATGATATATGATTTATGATGATTACTAAAAGATTTGATAGAGAAAAAAGACGACAACCAAAAGAGCGTCAAACGTCCCACAGGTGGGACGGTGACAGTTAAGGGGTTAATTAGTTCAGATGTGGTCTACAATTCCTGGTTACTTCAACCACTGATGAATATAATGAGACTATTTTTTAAATATCTGAATACTGTAAAGACTTTGTCTATGTGAATTATTCAGGGGGTGACTTAGCTGAACAGTGAAATTCAGAAATGATCTATGCATAGAAATTTATTAAACGCTACCAGTCAAAAGTCAAGTGGACACACTTGATTTTATATTTATATTTAGAGAAAAAAATTAAGAATTTATTTCTTGAATCATTTTACTCTATATGGCCCAAGATATTTTTTTCCAATATGATCTATGACCTGTAGGTGACACTATCACCAAACTTTAAATACTGCTCAGAAGAAAGCACTGTAGCAATGACACCTACTAAGCTTTGTTTTAATGACAAAGCACTGCAAAAATACAACCTAATTGTTTTTTTTAGTAGTCAACACAGTCAACTTGACTGACTGTCAACTGCGTAGTCAGAATCATTACTTTGTGATTCAGTAACTGTTGCAATAAATAACTTTTTTTGGTCTGAAAATCATGTAAGCTAGCTAACTTTTAAATTAAACATGTTTTAACAACAGCAGCACTACAACTCAATTTACAGTATTTGAGATTATAAGACAAAGCAAAAGAAAAATAACTGTGTTTCTAGACCAAAGAGTTCGTAAGCTATAAGCAGAGGTCGACCGATATTCTTTTTGTGTGTGTCTGCGTGTTTTATTTTCATTTTTATTTTTTTCGGCATTGATATCGTGAAAAGTAAATTTAATTTAATTTTGTAATATATCTGCCCTATATATTATAAAATAATATGCAGTAACATTTATATTTACATAATATTTACAAAAGAATCAATTTGTAATACAACATTGGAACTTAAACAATAAAGAAAACTATATCTGCAGAAAAAACTTCTGTTCTATAATCCTGTTAAATTATTTCAACCAGAAGAGATTGTTGAAAACACTGTAACCATCTAAAAGGTACCTTTCTTCAGTATTTAACCCCTAATTAAGAATTGAGTAAGTGTGTCCAAACATTTGACTGGTAGACTATGTACTGCAGATCATAAAGACAGAAAAGAAAGTTAAATGAATACAATAGATCATAGTTGGTTTATCATCATTCTCACTCACATTGTTTGATAACTGATGTACTAAGCGTTGCCCGCTCCGCAGGTCCAAAATCTTCACTCCTGTTCAAAGGGCGTGCATTTTGCTCCCCAACAGAATCTTGAGATGACTTTTGATCAAACATGGACTCCTTTGAAAAGAGTGGTTGAGAACATTCGGCTTTGCTTGTGTGCTCACTTATCATGGATAAAACATTCACACTGCTGGTGAAGTCTTGTTTAGGCTCTCTATTGGGTCCTAGCTCTTGCTGAAACCTGATTCCAAGCATATTATCGATATACATGGCATGATCAGCATCTACTAACTCTTTTGCGAGATTTCGCTTTCCAGTGACAATGTCAACCTCCCACTGTGTCTCAAAAACATGCTGTCTGAAACGTATCTGAAGGTTGCTATGACACATACAGTTCTGGAAGAAAACGATGGCCTCATCAGACCAGTCCTGGCCTTTGGGCTTAACTCCCCTCAGTAAACAATGGTAGGTGACTTTAGGTAATCTACTGAGCTCCTCTGGAAGTTTTTTTAGCTGGCCGACATCCTGCTGCGACAGAACTACATACTGCCCATAGTCAACCAAGTTCATGAGCACCGATGTGGAATCGCACTGCACGATCTCTGCCCTGCACCATTTTTTCTTCTCCGCTGATTTCACCAAACAGCTCGCACCTGGAACAAAATGAACCTCTGGTAATGGCGCCAACACTTCGGGAAGATTCTCAAGAATGGCAGAGACTGTATCTACAATCAAAAGCAGGTCCTCAAGAATGACGTAAAATTCGGACGGGGTTGTGACTGCTGCGGCAAATCCTTTATATTCAAAGTTCATTTGGACAGGGGCCTGGAACAGAGTCTGTGGTCGATCCAAACTGCTCTTTGAAGACGTGTCTGGGAAGCAAGGACGGTCGTCAACAACAAGCGACTTTTCACTTTTCACTGTCTCGTTGTCTTTCACATCTTGCAGAGCAACGCCAACAGGTGACTTAGAGGTTTCAAGGTCATTAGCATTATAAGGAGAAACATTTTCCTGCAACGTACTTGAATTTTTAGTCACTGAAATTCTTGTCACACATGGTGGTTGGGAGAGGACCTTTCTCTTTCTTCCTCTCTTTCTCAAAAACTCTTTGGTTTTGATGCATGTCGGTAAGAAAGTGGCTACTTTCTTCATTTGTTTTGTTGCAACTGTCTGATTGTTTCCAAGTTTGGACTTGCATTGTTGTGTGTATGACTTGGTCTTTTGCTGGAAGGTTATAACTGCTTTAGCCTTGTGGATGTAAGAATCTGTTTCATTTTTGCTCTGGGACACTTTTGGAAATTTGTCTTGACTCGTCAAATCTACATCTTTGCTCTGATCACCATCATACTTTGATTCCCCATGCACGTGGCCATCCTCAAAAATCTCGATCCTCACTTCCCATGAATTTTCAAGCTTTCGAATGAATTCAACCATTAAAGGCTTACCAACTGCTTCCTTGATAAAAGAGTCATGGTTTTCAAAAGAGTAATGTTTTGCAAGTGTGCATGGAGTGCTCAATCTAGGCTGAGACAACAACGTTTTGGATAGCATGTGAACATTCTTCCTGTCGACAGTTGCATTATTGCCGTAATCAATAAACTCGACTG